GATTCGGTTAAGTTATAGATTTCGGGAATAATAAGATTCAGTAACAGATATATCAGATACGTAATTTAATACGATCAGATGACTAATATATATTACAATAAGACTAAATATCGACATGCACTTGTAAGTTATAAATTTCAATTCCTACTCTTTGGCACGATCCATTTTCACTCAAACGAAGCCTTTATTCATTTCTAATAATTTTTCGACGAAAATTTGGTTTTAAAAAATTGTGTAAAATTTCAATCCCCATTCTTTGGCAAGATCCATTTCGTTCAAATGAAACCTTTATTCATTTCAACGAAAATTCATTTTTAAAAAATTGATCAAAATTATAATTCCTATACTTTGGCAAGATCTATTTTCGTTTAAACGAAGCCTTTATTCATTTTTATTTTCAATGAAAATTCGGTTTTAAAAAATTGAATTAAATTTCGATTCCTATTCTTTGAAAAGATCCATTTTCGTTCAAACGAAGGCATTTATTTATTTCTAATAATTTTTCGTTTCTTGTCGAAGACAAAAAATTTATTTTTAAATAATTTGGGTTATATCTAGAAATGATATTTACAAAGCACCTTCGCCGGAAAATCGTTGAAAAAAATTTAGAAGTCTTATCAGTTCGACAAATTGCTAAACACTTAGGTGTCAGCAAGTTTTCTAAATCAGATGGACAATCTTTAATTTTAAATCCACATCGATACTTTCATTTAATTTTGGATCCCATTTTTGAACTAATTTTAATTGTTAGTACGTACTAAAATTTTTCAATATATAAATAAATATAAACATATAAAGTTTTTTACTTTGATAATTCTTCATGCATTCTCGACAAATATTAATAATATCTTGGTCGCTTGTTTCCACCTTCAATACTTCCAAAGTTTCCTTCTGACAAAGAGTTTCCTGATAAATTTGAATTTTGAATTATGATTGAATATTCACCAATTTCTTGATTTGAATGACATTCCTTTTCTCATTTTCTTGCTGAGTGATAATCAGGTTGAGGCTCCTAGTGAAGAATACTTATATATATTAGCGATATTCTTAATTAACATGTCTTCAATTTCTTATGGTTTTCATCTCATCCCATCTGATCAGCAAAGAGCCTTGAACGCCAGATAACCAAGGAAGCTATCTGTGCCCAGTGGGTCCAGCACTAGGTCAGCAAGGAGCCTTGAATACCAGATAATCAAGGAAGCTATCTGTACCCCAGTGCTAGTTTGTGGCTCAGCAAAGAACCTTGAATGATCAAGAACCAAAGAAGCCCTTGTCACGCCACTACCATCCTACTTATTGTATACTTTATAAAAATTTTTTACTTGCCTTCCTATATCTATCAAGAAGCAGACTTGCCTTTTCTTGTCTATCACTTTTCTCCGTGTTAATAATCTCAAGGCTTTTAAGATATATTTATATATAATTTGTTGAATAGCTTCACATTATACTCATTCAAAAAACCCAAAAGACTCTATTCTAAGATCATAACAATTCTAATACAAGCTAACTTGGCTATATACTGTTGCTATTGAAACAATAAGTAAGTTCTGTAACATGATTTTTTACAATAAAAATTATAATAATTTAATAAACTCATCTTTTGATCACATAAACACATATTTAATTACTGGAGTAGCGAGTACAAAATAATTCCAATACAACCTTAACTATACTGTAAATGGTGAGCAAGTTTGGTAACAAAATTTTTACAGAAACTCACGATATCATGATAATTTCAATACATACCAAGTCATCCTTAACTACATGTTATATGTCGGGTAAGTTTTGTAACAGAATTTTTTATAATAACTCATAATAGAAATCAGTGTTATAAATTCAAAATTAAGATTTGTAATTAAAGTTAATTGTATATATCTCAACAACTACTTATTTTATTGGCGCAAGCGCGTATTATATATGAATAACATGTGCGCAAACTTTCGCAAAAAATTATATATATATATATATATATAAAAAGTAAAATTGTAATACACCGGTAGATCCTCGATTTTGATTAGAAATTTTGGCCCACATTACAAAATTGCTTACTAATTTCCGGCCGGAATTAACTTTAAATTTTTTCATTACAAAAATAGAAATTCTTTAAAAAACAAGCCCGAATTATAGTAAAATTTACCCAATAACAATTTTCACTTAATAGGCGGCAGCGATTTCATTAGTAAAATTATGAGTAATTCTGGCCTAAATTTCAAAATCGAGAATCTGCCGGTCCAAGTTACTGCGCGTATCCAATTTACATCATTGATAGAAATTACAATAATTCCAATGCCAACTAACTTGATATTTAACTATATGGGGTTGAGTCAATAGAAATCAAGCAAATATTTTTTAATAAGATTTTTTAAAACTTTAAACAAGGATATCTTAATAAAAGCTTAATCAAATTTATTAAAATTTTATTAAAATTAATTCTACAAATTTGTAAAAATTATTAAAAAAAATTTTTTTATTAAATTTGTAAAGGTTTTTCTTGTTTAAAGTTATAAAAAATTTGCTTGATTTCTATTGATTCACCCCATATATTAAGATCAATAGAATAACAAATAGGTTCTGCAATAAAAAATTAAATGGCAACCAATTCAACATTAACCATATATTGCAGGCGAATAAGCTCTGTAATAGAATTTTTAAGTTACTCATAATAAAAAAACAATCATTCTAATTCAAATTAACCAAACACTACGGTAAACCAACTATATATACAGGGGTTGTCGGATTTGAAAATTTGAGGAACGTATGTAACATGACGAACATGAATGATGATTAGCCAATTTTGTCCAGTGAAAATTTATTGTGGAAATGCGGATTTTAAATTTTAGCCAACTAGAATAACACCATGAAAAAAAAGATGGTTGTTAAATCCAGGTTTTTGATCGGAATTATTATTAAACACGATCATTTTTTTCATCCAACCAGATCATTTTATTAACCATAGAGGGAGGCGTTTGAGAACAACTTCGTTATCCACATAATTGAACAATTACAAGTCAACTGTCAGAGATACCTTATATAAGGTGCTTGATTTCTTGAAATCGACAGTGATACAAAAGGTCAATGAGGTGTCTTGTGATGTATATTTGATAATGCTTTTACTCCTTTCGATTCGAGATTATATAAATAAGATAATTTAAATATCGCTGAAGCGAAATCGCGTAACCTAAATGATGAAAACGAAAATGAACATAGTTAATTAAATAAAAAATAATTTAAATTTTAAAAAATCAATTTAAATTTAAAAAAAAAATTAAAATTAAAAAAAATAACTAAATTAAATTATTGTATTTAAAAAATCCAGAATAAAAGATGATAATAATTATATTCTGGGTAGTTATAGCGAAAATATCTGAGAAAGTATACTAATGTATCTGCTACGTAATCACTGATACAGTACATCAGTTATCTTTCATAAAATTTTCGCTTAACTACTCATGATACAGCTCATTTATCTCATACATCCATCTAACTTAAACTTTCATATACTTAAAATGAAATCTTCATAAATGAATCCTTGTTGTATGTTGTATGCATTGCTTCAACGCTAGAAATTAAACATGAATAATGCAAAACTTATCTAAAATGTATATGTATAGTAAAATAAGTACATTGTTACGGGGGTGATTCATATGTTCGATAATCTATACTATAAAATATAGAATTTATGTGATAAGGCAACTCACCAGAGACGTGACGTTGGTGATTTGGTTCATATAATGTAAGAGAATTATTATCGGGGTTAGTGATCTTATGTGCCCCTTCCTCGCACATAGGTGTCATAGGTGTCGTAACCAACCTTAACCAAGTTACGTCCTTTTTATAACTTAAAGAACTAATGAGGCTTAAATATAACTTACCTTATTGTATAGAGGCTTAATTTCTATCGGCTACAATTATCTTCCAGTTTATCAATAATGTCATTTTAGCCCGTGACAATGCCTGACGCGTCATTATAAGTAGTACAGATTTTTATTGGTTAATTACGCGGCGTGACAGACGCCCATTACATGATTTGACAGATTCAAATGTCTAGAAGTATAATGTCCGAAGCGTAGCTGAGGACAATTTCTTATGATACACCTTCCTAAAGTTTCTGAATGATTGACTTTCTTTACCAATATTCATAGTTCCCTAACATTTTCATCCTTCAACTTTGTAGATTATAATTTATTTAGATATCTTTAAAAAAATACTATATAAACCTAGTTAAACTGATCATATAGAAGGGAGTCAAAGATTCAAATCACGTGATTAGCGCAATTACATTATATAGCTACTTAAGATTTCTCCACATGCGTTTCTTCCTGTACAGTACTTTCGATTTGACTATTGATGAAGAGATTTCAAGCAAAGTTAGATTTTCTGAGTATTGGAAGAAACCTTATACATTAAAATTTTGATACTTATAGTCTATTTTTCATTGAAAAACACCCTGATGCGTCAAAGTGAACAATATATAGTAATTTTGGATAAAACTAAAGAAGAATTTAATACCGAAATTGAAATATTAGACTAAGAGGTTAGTGTTTTTATACGTTTCAGGAATGTAAAAATATTAACAAGATGTGAAAAATTAACGAGTATAGATGGTTTGCTACACCCTGTATTCTACGGCTACGGGGAAAAGCATCCAGTCACATTTTTGCATACCTGGCTGTGGGTTTGCTGATTCTAGAGAAAGAATCAACTATGTACCTTTCTTACTTATATGTTTTTCACATAATATTACAGGAATTCAAAAAGAGTATAAAGAAAAGGAAAACGTATCACCCAAAAAGTGTTTTAATACGAAAAAGAAGATAGTGAATGGAAAAAGTAACGATCAATCAAAGATCGATGTGAACATACTTGATTCATTTATTAAGAATTTGAGACAAGATCCCAAAACGAGGTATGATATTAAAAACTTTGATTTTTTATTGTTGCCTATCTTATTTCTTATTATCAAATATTGGTATCGGCTTCAGTATTGAATTCTCTGCATGATGCGTTATTACTATCCTCTTTCACTTATCGAAAACATGGATGAGACGCCCTTGACTTTTAACGTGCCTAATAATATTACAATTGAAGAAACTGGAACTCGCACAGTCGGAATTCCTGGTGCTGTTGCTCCCGATATTAATGTTGGCCTCAATCCTGATACTGCTCCTCCATATAACCAGCATGAAAATCAAATTCTACGGTCGTTTTGAATTGTTTAGCCGATGGTACCAAATTGTCTCCTATGATAATATTTAAACTAATAAATATACCACAACAAATATTTCCACCAGCGACCTATAAGGAAGAATATATGAAATTTAATGAGATGGTTTTTTGGATTGAAAAAATTTGGGGTCGTCGTTCTTCTTTGTCAATTGATCCTTGGTTTTGGATTCATTCCGTGGTCATATTAAAATCCGGTTTAATGAAAAAAATATCAAAATCGAAGTTATTCCAGGTGGCCATAATAAAAAAATTCATGTGGTCGGGATAGCTTCATGTTCCCGGATGAAACTCAATTAAGCAGAATGACATCAAGAACATTTAATGAACTGTAAGTTGACACGCTTATTTCGATTAATTCATAAATAGAATTTATTTAACAAAATTTATTTAATATATTAAGATGATAGTGTCTGTCTGTCGTTGCACTAAAAAAAAGCTTGAGCCAGAGCACTTACATTAATTCGATTTTAATTAAGATATATAACGATTATGAAATGCAGTTAGACTGTTCATTTAAAAGCACGAGACAAAGGCCCGATCTTTTATGTACCTTACTAAATTCTGAAATAAAACCATTAGAAAATGGATTATTTTCAAAAGGCGGTCCAGGTGAATCGGTAACTGTGGTTTGTTTTATTACTATAAGACTACTGTTTTCTCTTTTATTATTTATAAATTATTTATTGAAAATTACAGGTGATATTGTAAAAACATACATGATGTCTTAACACCAAAATTAGTAATTGACGAACCTAGTTTACCTTTAGTTGAATCAAATTTAGAGGTATACCATATCTAGGTATGCATATCATGTTACATTATATTTAAAAAAGATACGAATATACTGATGTCTTGCGGACTGTTAAGCTAATGAATAAGAAACCTATTGAAGGCAAAAAGGTATATAAATCTGAAGTTAAAACCACCCCAAAAAAGAAGAGAGATTATAAAAATCGAAGGACACCATTTACACCACACCAACAAATTCAGTATGTGCGTAATATCCCAGATTTTTCTTAGATAAAGAATATTCTATATGAGCTTCATGGTTGAATTTATCCATATACTGTAAATTCTGCAGATGAAAGCTTTACGTACGTACGTACGTACTGTATGTAGGAAATCTAAAAACTATATCTTGATGATTTAAATAAATATTGAAAATTAATATTTCCTAAATACCAGGAATGGTGTGCAACGAGATGTATATGTAATTGTACATAGTATCATTATGCCCTTATTCGGTACTCATTTCGAATTAATAATAGCGACTTAATAATTTTTTCATCTATGCTGTATGTACTATTATATATTTTCTAAACCATGAGTTTAAACAAGTTAACAAATGCATGGATTTATTAATTTCTTGCTCAGTCACTATATTTTATGCGGGTAAAACAAAAGACATTATGTGCTACAAATTTAAATAACTTTTTATAAATTCTGATCAATAATTTTTATTCACATTAAATTAATACTAATGAAATGAATGGAAATAAAATTAAAAAGTGTTTAGACGTAATAATGAATTTGAATATATATATCAATCTCATATAGAAATAACATTCACCAAATTTACACGAATATAAAGCTTATTTTTTAAGTGTCCCAGAATTTATGAAAACAGTTGCAATAATAAACCTTTAGTTGCTAATCTCTGTTGACTAAAAATTTTTCAACTAAGCTGACCAAGTCGATAAAATTTTACCGACATGGTAGGTTGAAAAATTTTGATCGACTAACGCTAAAGATCAATCAATGTCTTTACCAAATTAGGTGACTTTCATCTGTTTGGGCTAATTTTCATGACTGATTTATACGTTATAATAGCAATAAATTCATTCTGGTTACCGAATAGTACTAGCAATGACCTGATTAATGGACAAGCAAGACAACTCATGAGTTTATCGTTATAAATTATGCACATCGGTTCCTGACTACTTCGCTCAGCTACTTATTTAGAATTTTCATGTAACAAAACTGATGAACCATAAAGCTATAAAGGATGTTTAAAAAATATTAGTTGCGAGTCCTGAATCATATTCTATGTTTAATGTGCTAAGTACTTTGAGTTGTTTTTAAATCTCCATGAACATGTCAAATAAAGATTTGTTTAAAATTGATTTTTTGGTCAAAAATTCGAATATGTTTCTCTCACAAACATGACAAAAATTGGTAAAGGAGGGTTTGGAGACGTTTATAAAGCTTATTTAAAAGATATAAAACAAACTGTAGCTTTGAAGACTTTAAGTTATGATAACGAACATTCGTTTGATGATTTTGTTAGAGAAGTATGTACTACTCTTGTTACAATACATATTATTCACATTTCTATCTTGTAATACAATGTTTTATATTTTTAATATTACAAATTATAAGGTTAAAAACATTACTAAAGTTAATCACGACAATATAATACAACTCTTTGGAATTACTCAAGGCATGCTAATTTTTCTAAAATGGATAATTTTCTGATATATATTCTTATATATCTAATCATTAAGAGTCTCTTAAAATTCATAAATCAGATTCTAAAACAGAAACATACTATATGGTTCTTCAATATGCAAATTATGGAGATCTTCGATGTTATTTGAATGAAAAATTTTCAAAATTAGATTGGCCAACTAAAATTAGAATGGTCAAAAAGAGAAAACATATACGTTTACTTTTTACAAATTTTTAATAAAATAGGCAAAGTTTAAAAGGCTACTGCTCTATCAGTTTGGGTTTAAAATTAAATTTAAACCACAAGTTTTGTTCTTAAAGGTAAGAAGAACTGATCTTGTGGATTAGTTTTACATTTTATAAATTTTTAAAAGAGAAGTAGTATTTTTTGTAAAGCTATTTTTTATGGAGATTTAAAGCTTCCGGCACCATACTTATTAACATGCAGGCACATAATATTGATAGCACGATAAGAACATATTAGTACATGACGATAGAATGATTATTACAGACTTTGGTTTATCTAAATCATTAGATAGCAGCACAAACTCTATAGAAGGTGGAAAAGCTGCATATTCTGATCCCCAATATCTCAAAAATACGTTCACGTATAAACGAGCCAAGCCTTCAGATATCTATAGTCTCGGTGTTCTTTTTTGGGAACTGTCAAGCGGCGTGCCTCCTTTTAATTCTTTAAAAGATCGACTAGAAATAACACTTCATGTACTCAAAGGTAATCGAGAAACTCCTATTGATTATCAAGATCTTTATTGCGCTGCTTGGAGCGGTGATCCAGAAAGCCGTCCTAGCATTGGAGAAATTTGTAATAAATTAGATAATATGCAGTTAGAAGATTTGAGAAAGAAAGCACTTGAATGTTTTAAGCAATGCAAAATTTCAAAGCATTAGAACTTTACGAAGAAATTCTTAGGGACAGCCAGCACAGCTCTGAAAATCAAAAAAGTGCTTCAACTTGGGACTTTTCTGATAATCAATGTAGATCGGAAAAAATAAACGAATTAACAGAGGCACTTTGCAAGAACACTACACTGACTTCCTTGAATCTTGGTAATAATAACCTTAGAGCAGAAAGTGCAAAAGCATTAGCAGATGCACTTTGCAAGAACACCACACTGACTTCCTTGAACCTTGGTAATAATAAACTTGGAGCAGAGGGTGCAAAAGCATTAGCAGATGCACTTGGCAAGAATACCACGTTAATTACTTTGAATCTTGATAGTAATGAACTTGGATCAGAAGGTGCAAAAGCATTAGCGGATACACTTGGCAAGAATACCACGTTAACTTCTTTAAGTCTTGTTTATAATGGGCTTGGGTTAGAAGGAGGAAAAGCATTAGCGGTTGCACTTCGCAAGAACGCCACGCTGATTTCTTTGAATCTTGGAATGAATGATATTGGATATGAAGGAGGAAGAGCATTAGCAGATGTACTTTGCGATAACACTACGTTGACTTCTTTGGATATTAGTGAAAATAGTCTTGGATCATATGTAGCATTAGCAAATGTACTTCGTAAGAACACCACATTGACTTCTTTGAATCTTGGTAATAATGGACTTAAATCAAAAGGTGGAAAAGCATTAGCAAATGCACTTTGCAAAAATACCACATTGATTTCTTTGAATATTGGTTTTAATGAACTTGGAGTAGAAGAAGGAAGAGAATTAGCCGATGCACTCTCTAAGAACGCCACACTGACTTTTTTGAATCTTCAATATAATAATCTTGGATCAGAAGGAGGAAAAGCATTAGCAGATGCATTTTGCAAGAACGCCGTGCTGAAAGATTTGAATCTTTGTAATAATGGTCTTGGATCAGAAGGAGGAAAATCATTAGCAAATGCACTTTGTAAGAACTCCATTCTGACATCTCTAAATCTTAAAAGTAACAAACTTGGATCAGAAGGAGGAAAAGCATTAGCAAATGCACTTTGTAAGAATACAATGCCTAAAGGATTTGAATCTTTGTAATAATAGTCTTGGATCAGAAGAAGGAGAAGCATTAGCAGATGCACTTTGTGAGAACATCACTCTGACTTCTTTGAATCTTAAATATAATAATCTTCAATCAGAAGGTGGAAAAGCAGTAGCTAATGCACTTTGCAAAACATTACGCTGACTTCCTTGAACTTTAGCAGTAATAATCTTGGATCAGAAGGAGGAAAAGCATTAGCGGATGCAATTTGTAAGAATACAACGTTGACTTCTTTGAACCTTAGAAGTAATAATCTTGGATCAGAAGGAGGAAAAGTATTAACTGATGCACTTTGCAAGAATACCACACTGACGTTTTTGAATTTTTACGACAACAATAGCAACTTTAAATTAAAATCAAATAATCCAAGTAAAAAAATAAAACAATAATAATACATAGTAAATTAAAATAATGTAGATTTAAATAAATATGTAGTATATTAAACTGTAATTAATGTATACACTAGATTAATGCGCAGCATTGTGTCCGAAGCACATATTGCACAAACGCGTGATATCATTCACTACGCTCCGACAATTATTATAATTTATCAACTAAATGTATTCAATGAACATGACTAGAAATGGGGTTCCCGGGATGCAGATCAAAATTCTTTTTAAAAGTTTGAACTTCTAGCAAAGATTTCTCAATCAAATTCGGTAAAAAATATATTTATTTATCTTGATATTTATTTAAGAAGTTTATGTTAGAAATAGGTAATAAATTATTTTTAATTATTTTTGGGAGATAAATTTATTTGCTTTTTGCAAGGTATATATGTGCTTATAGAAATGCCAGTAGGGTAGCGACCCGTAAAAATCTTGTATAAATTAATACAAATAAATACAAATTTCAGAATTTAGGTTGATTATGCAAATTAAAGCAAAATTTCTAAGGGTAAAAATTCTATAATATTAACTAAATTTAATTGGCTATAATGCCAGATGGTGGGCAGAATTAAGATTCCGAAAGAGAAAATGAACGAATATAAAAGACGAAGGTCAGAACAAAAATTTCGAGTAAATGTTTTCCGAAAAGAAATTAAAAATCGCAAATTAATTTAAAGTTTATTAATACAAAATTTTTGCAATAACGCGAAATAAAGATTTCGATAACAAAAAATTTTGGAGTCCCTGTAGTGGGTAATTGAATAGGAAATCACGCGATCAGATAAGTGTGTGATATAAGGATGCATAATTATATCATTGTGGGGTGTCAATAAATATTATTCCCATCCAATATTATTATTCGTTCCCTAAAAAGTTATTCTATTTTTTAAATTATTCTCTACTTACAATTTAACCAGATCTTTATTTACCCTTACCTAAATCTCTCTGCCCAAAAACTTGCTTATTAAATTGATTAAATGATAAAACACGTGAATAATAGAATATCTTTAATTTTTTTTTTTTTTTGAGGGTGCTAGTTAGTGGAACTACTGTAATAAAAAGAAATAATAATGAGGGTACCGACATCGGGTACCAGGAAATCGCAGACACATAAATGATATCTTGTATGTACTCAGGTTCCGAAAATTTGCCAATTTATTTACCAATTTACATGCTTCACATCTAAAA